AGCCCAACCCCTGAAAAACAACCCCACACCATAATCCCCCCTCCACCAAACTTTACACTTCTGTAAACTGTGCGCTTCAGCATGCGCTGACCCCGCTCTGTCATTTTTTTGTGGCCTACCAAACTGTTGTTTCTAGTCGCTTCCACTTTGTTATACCACTAACAGTTGACCGTGGCATATTTAGTAGCAAGAAAATTTCACGGATGGACTTATTGCACAGTTGTCAAACTATCACGGTACCACGCTTGAATTCACTGAGCTCCTGAGAGCGACCCATTCTTTCACAAATGTTTGTAGAAGCAGTCTGCATGTCTAGGGGCTTAATTGTATACAAATAAACAAACAAAACCAGTGTGGAATCTTCATGCAGACTAGGATAACTTTAAATGCCATGCGTTGAGGTGCAGCCCTTAGAAGATCAGGAAATCTTGGTACTAGTGAACAAAAGCAAAATGGGGCGTACTGTCTTCGTGCATTAGTGTGGTGAAACACAAATTTATTTAAAAGCATATACATGCATACTCACAAACCAAAGGGGGATAAAAACACACCTTAGGCGATGGAGGTGATTGGAACTCCTGAATCCAATGATTTGGAGGGGTGTTCCAATACTTTTGGCAATATAGTGTAGCTTCACCCCCATTCCTAGATAGAGGAATAAACCTAATTTATTTTATTTATAATGGAAGTGAGACATGCAGATACCTTGCATTTTCAGAAGGCTCTACTGTGTTCTACAACGTATTTATAGATAATATGTACCTAAAACAAATCTGAGTTTCTACCCTGTTTATCTCTCTTGCAGAATACCCCGTATGCACTCAGCTTTCCTGTGCCAGTGGTGCCTGTTTCAATACGAGTCAGCGGTGTGATGGAATTGTTAACTGCAGGGATGGTTCAGATGAGGCCAATTGCAGTATGTACACATTCTTTTTTCAAAATGTTATTGTTGATGTTGCTGTTACAGGTGTGCAAAGAGCACCATGCTTCTAATGTCCAATATCAATGTAAAACATGATATCAGATTGAAAGATTTGTGAGATTACATTTGCAGATGGTCTTCTAGCTGTAATCTTCTATTGCAACTATCATCCCGCAAAAAAATTAAGAGCTGTCGGAGCAGGTATCATGTCAGCTAAACGTAGATTTCCAGTGGTTTAAGAGAGTAGTAGTTTCTCTATGCACTGGACAGGAATGATCCTGCTAATCCCAAATTATGTAGATACAGGGGTTGGACAAAATTATAGAAACACCAGGTAAAAGAACAAAATTGTTACCTAATATAGTGTTGGACCTCCTTTGGCATCCAAGACGGCCTGAATTCTTCTGGGAATTGACATGGTGGTTAATGAAATCTGATGCCACTCTCCATGTAGAAATTGTTCCAGTCATCACATAAATTCACAGAGGAGGAAAACAAGCCTTAACCTTGTTCTCCAAAATTGACCATAGTGACTCTATGATATTGAGATCCGGCGACTGCGGCACCCGGGATATGTGCAATGCTCATCAAACTGCGATTTGATAACACCAGCATTATTGTCTTGGTAAATGGCTCTGTTTTCAGGAAACAATATCTGCATGGTGGGGTGCACGTGGTCAGCCAAAATTTGTACATTGTCGCTGGCAGTGACTCCACCTTTCAAGGGGCTTACAAAATACTAACGTGGCTGCCCAAACCATGATTTTGCCGCCATAATGCTTTACCATTGGCACAGCACAGTCCTTGTCATAAGTTTGGAATGGTGTTTGCCATAGTAGTTGGGAACAGTGTGAAGCTCGATTCACTGGACCATAATACATTCTTCCATCGATCGATAGTTCACGATTTATGGGTGTTGCACCACTCTCTCTGTTCTGCTTATGGAGTTCCCTCCACACAGTTTTTGTTAACATGGGCTTTGGAAGATTGAGCTCTGCAGTCACTTTTGCAGCAGTTGTTTTCTTTTTCCTGTATATGCTGTCATAATCGTTGATACTGTACCACGCGACACGGCAAAAAAATTGGCAACTTCAGTCACAGAGGCACCAGCTAAGCAGGCACAACAATTTGCCCACTTTGAAGCCCAGTAAACTCTGACATTACTCTGTATCACTAGCAGCACACTCAATGAATGATGAAAGTGAGTCTTCCCACCGGTTAGCTAAGTGTCTCATCACGCAGCTGAAGCAAAAGAATGTTGCATCACTTCCGATTTCAGTGTGAAACATGTCATCACTTTCACACCTGCAAAATTTGTAGTGTTTCCACACTTTTGTCCAGCCCCTATGTACTCCAAGAATTTTAAATGTTGAGGCAACCTCTGTATGCTGTATATGCTATTTCCTTTCATTGGGTTGCTAGATCACTATGAAGTTTTATTTCAAAGTCATTACTGGTATTTCTAAGTACAGTTAGCACATTTTCCTGAATCTATCTTGATATTGAACTGTAATCCCCTTCACAGCAGGAATCTCGGAGAGGGAGGGTCGGCACTTTTTGATTTGAATAGTGTTGTCAGTCCTGAACAGGGAGCATGCTTACAGAAGGACAGAGCAGAAGCATGACCTTGTCAGTGAGCTGCTGCTACTTTTTTGTCCTGTCACAGACAGAAGTGGGTCCTAAGCCAGGCTGGATCCTGTTGCCAGACCATTAGGTTCAGCAAAAATTTTCCCATAGGGTTATATGTGTATTTAACATATTTGATGTATTTTATGCACCCTTTAAAGCTTCTCTTGTGTAGATATCCAAAAGCCCATAAATTTGCTGCTGGGCGCCTCCAACGTGGAGTAATATTAGCAACCCCAGCAGACTTAAAGCTGTCACTCAAGTATCACTCTGTTGCATTTCCCTTCGCTCCTCTCCTTCCTGATATATAAACAGTTATGTAGGAAAGTGAAGGGAAATTGGAGGAGCTGGTCCAGCAAAGAGAGTAATTAGCCACTAAAAGGAAAAGGAGAGGGCTATGACATTCTTAGAGAAAGGAGGCTTTGCTAGGGAATTGCCTATAGCTGAAGTAGTCAAGTTTAAAGGCACATTACAACTGATCAAAAATTGTGCTGTAGTTATTTAGGTTGGTGACAGGGTCACTTTAACATGCACAGAGGTCCAGGACCTGGCTTTATGTCTGATAGGTACCTAGATATCAAGGCTGGGGAAACAAAATGAAAAAGTCCTTTGACAGGTTAAAAGGTTCACCTCTAGGTTGTTAGCTCTGGAATTCAGTCCTAATGCTCCTGATATATGCAATAGATATCTCTGTAAACAGAAACTTTAAATAAAAATGTATACAAAGAACAATACTCCCATAGAAAAAAGGAAGTGAAATAGGTGGAACATGCTAACTTTATAAAGGTAGTTTTTTTTTATATATGGAGTTGTGAGTTTGACGTGCAGGAACCAAAGTGCAGGACTTTTGTATTTATCAAAATGTGTTATACAGCGATATCAAAGGGTCCAAGGGAGAGGATGGGGACTTGCTGCGTCTGTAACCTTCTCATAGACTTTTCATTTCTTCACAGCCCAGAGGTGTCTGAGCTCTCAGTTCCAGTGTGTGAATGGAGACTGTATCCCTCGAGATTTCATCTGTGACCATGACGATGACTGTGGCGATGGCAGTGATGAAAGAAATTGCAGTAATGTTAATTTTTTTGCTCATGCCTACATTATTTTAGGTTTAATAATCTTTAAAGTGGTTGTAAAGGCTCTAAAAAAAAGAGGTTATACTTACCTGTTCTGTGCAATAATATTGCATAGACCAGTCTCGTACCTCCTCTTCTGGAGTCCCCCACCAGTATTCTCTGCTTCTTCTGTTCACTGTGTTCCCTCATAACAAGCTGCTTGCTATGGAGCACATGTGTGCGTCCATAGATACACACATCGCAGCCTGGCCCTGCCCCCTACTCCCTCCTCTTAGGATATGAATAACAGGCTCCTGCTGCTCTAAATCTGTCCTGTGAGAGCAGGTAGAGAGACCAGTGCTTCTCCAGACAGGCACAGCGATGGATGGAGGAAGAACAGGTAAAACATGATATAGCTTTGTATAAAAACTTTAAAGCAGAACTCCAGACACAAGAACTGTCAGCCACCAAGGATGTAAATTCATTTATTTGCATCAAATGTCATAGTACTCCTAGTTACTACCTTGTAAAGGTAGCAGTGAAATCATCACTGTTGTGTATATAGTCTGTGCAGAAAGCAGAGCTGTGGGAGAGACCTGGAAGACCTCATCCACTTCAGGCTGCCCGCAGAAAACTACAGTAGGGGGCAGATACAAGACCAGTCAACCTGCACAAAGAGAGAGAACAGCACAAGGGGATACAGACTGCTGTGTGGGTATGAGGGGCTACAGGACTGAAGATTTCATCTAAGACAACAACCACCAGCACAGGGACAATTCTTATTAAATGTTAGTACTGTTCCTTTTGCTCATTAAAAAATGCACTAAACCCAGGCTTTAAGTAACTTATAGCAATCAACACAACATCATCTTTCATTTTGTTGACTCCGCTAAACTAAACACAGAAGGGAAAACCTGAAGTTCATATTACTGTAAAACATTGCTTTAGGTTGGTCCATGTCCAGCTTGCATCAAAGTAAACCAGGTGGCAGTCCAACCCGTCATTGTGGTACTGTAAGACAATAGTAATGGATGACTGCACATGGGTAAATGCCAACTTCTTTAGTCCATCAATATAAAAAGTAGAAACATCTACCACACTACAAAAGAAGGAACTTCTCTTGTGGTGTGGTGGATCTTTTCTTACCATTTATATTGATTGAATGATCATTTACCAGTATGCAGTCATCCATTAAGATTATCTCAAAGGGAAAGCCTGCTTGGTTGCAATCAGATGCTGCATAATGAGCCCCTTTATAGGCAAACTCTATACACTTATGTGTTCGGTTCCATGTTCTTTTTTTGCTTTGCTCTTTAGCTTATCCAACATGTAAAGGCGATTACTTCACCTGCCCCAGTGGTCGTTGTATACATCAGAGCTGGCTTTGTGATGGGGATGACGACTGTGATGATAATGCCGATGAGAGTGGATGTGGTATGAACAGTTTAACATTGCTCATTTGTCAAAATGTTATTAGAAGAAAATGCTAAGACTGGTTGCGAAAAGTATCAGTCGATCGGGAAAAGTAAAGCAAAAATTTGGCAGATACATTTTGATTTCTCTTTTTTTTTTGACAAATGTATAACAGAATTTCTATATATAGACAAAAGCTAAAGAGAGACAAGGAAAAATAGTTACACAAAAACTCCACAATTTAATACTATTTTGTATTCAGTAAAACAAACATGCCTAACTGGCCTCTAGTGCGGCCCCTGCCAACTAGCTAAACTGATACTTTTGACAGCACAGCCAATAGAAAAGAATAATTCCAGCCAATAAGGAAAGGTGGTATGATATCATTGTATGGGGGGGACGGGGGACCTCACTTTTCATCTGACTTCTGAAAATAAAGTGGATATTTACACAGAGTTTTTACAGCTGCTATCTAGGGATTGCAAGAAAGTTATAGCATGGGAGAGGGAGCAATAGAGAGCTTACAGCAGTACCTATGCACAGGTACTCTTCCATAGTATAAGGGATAGAAGGGGTTGACAAATTTAATTTAAGACAAATTATTTTACTCTGAAAATAAGATAACAATTAAAAACGTTGTTCCCCAATGACCTCATCATGATATGCAGACCTTGCATCTCAGTGAAAAAGTCTGCTTATTCAAGGTACCCGCCCGCCTCTCCCTAAAATGTTGGATGAAAGTGCAAAAAAAAAAAAAAACCTGTGAGAGGATGAGATTACATGCTTACCTTTTTTGTGGCTTCCTTCTGCCGCGTCAAGGCGAAAGTGATGTCATCCTTCTCTGGTTAGATCTCTGAGAATATTTAGTAGTTCATATCTTGCAAGAAGATGATACTGTACTGGGTTTCCAAGTCTTTTTTTGAGAGATTTGGGCTACACAGCATTCCCAGGAATCTTGTTGGCAGGAGGATGACCTCACATGCTGCACTATGGAATTTGTAGATAGAGGAGTATATTATCAAATCATTTTTCTCTTCACAAGTTCTTTTTTGCATTTTTGTGCAATGTCTAAAGGAAGGGAAGGGGAGCAACATTGAATACGTGGACCATTTTTAAAGTGCAAGGTCCACCGAATACATTTAACAGCAAAATTGATGCAAAATAATTTATGTGGATTCTTAACTGTGAAAACCTGCTAATGAAAAAACTAATAAACACATTTTAAAAATTGATTTATTGAATTTGTTCCCCCTAGAGAGTGGTCTGAGAGAATGTGGCCCAGGAGAGTGGTCGTGTTCTTTGTCTGGTCAGTGCATTCCTATAGATAAGGTTTGCGATGGGACAGTTCACTGCCGCTTTGGAGAAGATGAAAATAATGCCACGACTGGACGGAACTGTAGTAAGTAGCATTCTGCACAGAAAACGAATTGCCCATAGTGTCATATTGATGTGAGAATCAAAATATTCTTCTATAGTCTTACATGGTACATGTACCTTTATATAAAAATCTCTCTGTCCCCCAGCCCTTCCTCCCCTTGTATATATGCACCTGCTTCCTAGAAAAGAGGAAAGAGAAAAGAAATGTAAAAGGCATATAAATCATCCCTGGACACTAGCTGGAACAGCCAAAAGCTGAGCAATGTTGAAGGGAATAATGCTGCATCTGAGGTCTGATGTTTGCATACTACCTAACTGAGGTGGGGGAACATATAGATGTCTTTTTATAAAAATAAGTTCACATAGCCATTAATCCATCAAATCTGCAGGTATATTCATTATGTGCAAATTGGGCAAAAAGTGGGCAAAACAAATCTCCCTTAGGCTATTTTCTCTTCTGAACAAATGTTCTTTTATTATGGGCAGTAGTAAAATTCCACATGGATGGAGCTGAGGAGCATAAGAAATTCAAGGTGTGACAATTTAATTCTCGGAATGGACTGTTAAAAATAGACATTTTCTTACATATACCCTAGTAGCAGCACTGCCGGAAACATTCCTGGAATTAGTTTTCCAGAATGCTGCACAGTATCTTTGTTGTGGCACACTGGATGTCTGGAATGTCATCAAATTTGTGTCCTTTTAGGGCATTTTTAATTTTGAAAACAGCCAAAAGTCCCAGGGTGCTAAGTCAGGGGAATAAGGTGGTTAGTCAAGTTTCGGAATGGATTTCTGGGCCAGGAACTCAGAAACACTTAACGCATAATGTACAGGAGCATTGCTGTGATGGAGAATTCACTTGTCAAGCCAGAGTTCTGGTCTTTTCCTCCAATCAGATTCTCTGCCCACATTTACATCTGTCCATTGTGGTTTTGACTGCCTATTTGCATCATCATGGACATCTTCCCGCCCCTCCATAAATCGCCTATGCCATTTAAAAACACTTGATTTCTTCATGGAATGTTCACCATAAATCTGTTGTAGCAGAACTAAAGTTTCAATACACTTTTACCAGTTTTTACGCAAAATATGATGTTAATCTGCTGCTCCAGATCACTGTAACTCATTTTCTGGCAACAATGCAATGCACAGATGTATTTTTTCTCCTCGTTTTTCGCTGTTAACGGGGACCAGAACCTCCCGCAAAAGCTGAAAAACCGCGAAGTAGTATTTGCCCCTAGGAATTTTTGTGTATGCGGGTACTGTACAAGAATGTTTTAAATATGTAAACATCATGGACAAGACTGGCGAGATACAACAAGGGAAGATGCTAAGTGAGGCTGCAATGATGCGCAGACAATCAACTCACAGGGATAAATCCACTCGTACTCTTATTGGTCGATGTCACACCGGAAATCAATCACGCGCCTTTATGAAAGCCCGTGGTATGTACAGTACTCTGAGTCAACTCATCTCTTTGGTTGACATGCAGGGATCCTTCTCTTTTGCGCATCAACATGAAACAACACTCCTTTCCACAATGTGGCTGCTGACCCGCGAAGTACTGAAGCCGCAAAACATGAAGCGCGAAGTGGCGAGGGAACACTGTAATCAACTGGTCTATGACCCAGGCAAATGCAAGTTAGAACATGTCAGAATACGCTCAAGTGTAAATCAGGGCCGGATCTAGAGGGGGTGCTGGCGTGGGCTGTGCCCATGGACTCTGATGTATGGGGGACTCTCATGGGGACTATGATGTAAGGGGGGACCTTGATGGGGACATTGATGTAAGGGGGTACTCTAATGGAGACACCCGATGTAAGGAGGCACTCTGATGGGAATATGATGTAAAGGGGGACTCTGTTGATGACTCCTGATATAAAGGGGAACTCTAACAGGGCCATCTGATATAAGGGGGCATAGGTTCTTTCTAATCACCCTAATCTAAAACAGCCTAATACATACTAGTATTTCTCACATTGTGACACTTTGTGACAGATTGTCAATGACTCACACAGTGTTGACATTATGCCCCCCGACTTTTTTTTTTACTGCACCCCCAGATCAGATTCTGTAGGCTAGATCTGGCCTGGTGTAAATATTTATTTGGCTTGCCTCCATAATGCTACTCCGCAGGCATTCTGGGAATTAAATTGTCACACCTACATATGTCTTTCTAACAAGAGATACAATGTAATAATTCTAGAGAAGGCAAGAGGGAATTAGAAATTAAATGCAATCATTGGAATGAATGGCTAGATGACTGTTTTATAAACAGACCCCAAAAGAGAGATTTTTATATATAAAGGTATAGTTGCACTTTAAGTTAGTATAACTCTGTAGTCTTACTTATTTTAAAACATGTTTTTCTCATTATGTAGTTTTATTTTCCTAGCTTGTGTCTGACTTTTAAGCTTGAGCCAGGGTCTGAAAGGTCACCTGATATACTGTATGACAGTTGAGGAATAATAAAAAATGTTTTTGTTAATGATTTCATCTAAAGGTACAAGTAATTGTGCAGCACTGAGCTGTCAGCATCGCTGCCACGCATCTCCCTCTGGTGGTGTTTGTTATTGCCCTTCAGGATATATAATCAGCATTAATGACAGCAGAACATGTGTTGGTGAGTAGTAAAATGTCACATTATCCTCTGTGAAAATACATTACAATAAAACAAATGTTTTTATTAGTGAAAATACATTATTAAATCAATTAAAATCATACCGAAAATAAAAGATATCCCTGCAAAGAAAGTGGTAAATTCTGACCTTATACTTCCCTGTAGTGAAGAGAAATCATTGCCTCATGACCACTTAGAAATCATTAGTAGTCCCATGCTGCACTCAGTGTTTCTCCCTGCTGACTCCAATGTCTTTACTGTGCCTTGTACTGATGTAGGTGCTAACAGGTGAAACAACAAAGGCAATGTTTACACTGGCAGCTGAGGGACAATAAAAATTGGTGGCTGAGTTGCAGTTTGTTTTGCCCCCTGATCATTCATTTTAGCCCTATATTGTGCTCCCTGTTCCCATTTGTTCCACTGCCTGTCCTGGTCCCAGAAAAAATTGAGTTAGGCTAAGCACTACTCAGCCATTCACAGGAAGGTTTGCATTTTTTATGAGTACAATGTTTCCTCTGATTGGCTGAGGTGGAGATTGTGACATCATCTGACCACCTCCACACCATTCAGAAAATACAAAAGTTCCTTTGAATGGCTTATCATCTCAGCCTGACTTGAGTTTATCCTGAGAGTGGGATGGGAAGTCCCTGTAGCACTGCTGGAACACAGCGCTGTATACTGTATGTAACTGGGCGTCACAGCTGGTGCATCTGTTAGTAAAGGCAATAGCTTGTTTGGACCAGCTTGGTTCAAAAAATGACAGTAAGCTGGAGTTAGTCTTTTAAGCCTGTTCACTGGCTAGACTGGCCCACACATTTGCCCGAGCAAGTCTCAGTATTTACAATATGATGTTTGCTAGATTTCCTGGTCCAAATTATATTTAAAATGACACCAACTTCTGGTTTAAAAATAATTCTATAATTCTATTCACGTATATATTCTTAAAGTGGTAGTAATCTCGGTATCTTAACCCTTTACCTACAGGTGAGCTTATAGTCAGGCTTACCTGTAGGTACAATGATTACCTCTTAAATGTCCACCATTTAGGAGACTTACACCCAATGTTGCAAATTATTTAATGACAATGGTAGATATGAATTACTGAGAGTGAGGTCACATTCAGTCATGGTGATATGTCTGGATTCAGCCGGTTTATATTAATGTGCTCCTTAGCTGTACTTTGCACAGCCCCATGCACTGGGACAAAGCATGCTCCCTGTGTGTGAGTGCATCTAGCCTTTCCCACATTGTGTTACAATCAGGGGCGGACTGACAACTCATGGGGCCCCCGGGCAATAGGTGATCATGGGGCCCCTGTGTCCTTGCCCAAACTCAAAAAAGCCTATGAAAAAGGTACCAGGGGCATTTCATGGGGCCCCCTACTGACCCCAGGCCCTCGGGCAGTGGCCGAGTTTCCAAATGATCAGTCCGCCCCTGGTTACAATATGACATTAGCAGGTCATGTAGGTAGACCCTGTAGCAAGGCATACGTCATTGCTCCGCTCTGCTTTGTAAAATCTGTCAGGAATGTGTTCTCTAGCGGAATGCTTTGAGAATGTAGCTTTACTTTAAATATGTGAAATGGTAGATTTGTGGATGTGTTTTTTCTCCGCAAAAGGAAACATGCGAGGTCCAGGTTACCTCGTTTTTTGCTCTCTTTGATGATTCCTTTTTCTAAGATTTAAACAGTCCAAATATAACATTACCTTAGGAGACCTGTAACCAAAAAAAGCTTTCTATGGTAACCAAATATTGACATTTGTTCCACCTTCAAAGCAACAAGATGAAGCATTGATGCCATTTATAACAGAACATAGCTGATTGCATCAACATGGAGATAAAGTTTAAAGCTGGAATGGGATTTCAATGCACAAGGGTTATATTCAGCTTCTGCCTGGGGAGATCACTGACTGACTGCCGTCTCATTGAAAATGGCTTGACTTTTAACAGGGGGAAGTTCTGTATAATGATACAACTAGTGTTGATACTACTACTACTAATAATAATAAAAAAGATTATTCATATAAAATCAATAAGAAACAAATCAGCAATACTTAGCGTTATTTTCTTTTTAAAGCAAAAAATTTACATTTTACAGGCTCTGGATTTAAAAATGCTGTTCCCAAATCCTTCCTGTGACATTAAAGGGAACTTTTGGCCAGGATGTAAACATTCACTATTAAAAATTCTAAAAAAGCAGTGAATAAACTTTAAAACAAACCCTCACTGACATACACTATATTGCCAAAAGTATTGGGACGCCTGCCTTTACACACACATGAACTTTAATGGCATCCCAGTCTTAGTCCGTAGGGTTCAATATTGAGTTGGCCCACCCTCTGCAGCTATCGCAGCTTCAACTCTTCTGGGAAGGCTGTCCACAAGGTTTAGGAGTGTGTCTATGGGAATGTTTGACCATTCTTCCAGAAGTGCATTTGTGAGGTCAGGCACTGATGTCGGACGAGAAGGCCTGGATCGCAGTTTCCACTCTCCACAGGTCAGGACTCTGTGCAGGCCAGTCAAGTTCCTCAACCGTAAACTCGCTCATTCATGTCTTTATGGACCTTGCTTGGGAGCATGAAATTGTCCAAAATGTCTTGGTATGCTGATGCCTTAAGAGTTCCCTTCACTGAAACTAAGGGGCCAAGCCCAACCCCTGAACAACAACCCCACACCATAATTCTCCTCCACCACATTTTACACATTTGCGCACTGTGCACTTCAGCATGCTCTGACCCTGCTCTCATTTTACGTGGCCTACCACTTAGTGGCTGAGTTGTTGTTGTTCACAGTCGCTTTCACTTTGTTATAATACCACTAACAGTTGACCATGGAATATTTATTAGCAAGAAAATCTCATGGATGGACTTATTGCACAGATGGCAACCTATCACAGTACCACGCTTGAATTCACTGAGCTCCTGAGAGCGACCCATTCTTTCACAAATGTTTGTAGAGGCAGTCTGCGTGCCCAGGTGCTTTATTTTATACATCTGTGGCCATGAAGATGATTAGAACACCTGAATCCAATGATTTGGAGGGGTCTCCCAATACGTTTGGCAATATAGTGTATGTAGCAGTAGCCATTGTGTAGTAATTCTTCTTCAAAGTTCACAGCAGAAACACAAGTCCCCCAAGTGAGTGTTTCCTACAGCTAAGCTCCCCCTGCTCCCCCCTCTCAGTAGTGACTGAGTGGCTTTTTAGCCTTTTGATTTCTAATATAAACAGAGAGCAGGGGCTCTGGGAGGGTAAGGCAAGGTACACTGAGCTGCTGAGTGAAGGACTTTGATGACCTTTGTGGTTTTGCAGTTGATTTTAAAAATGAATTGGCCCACAGTGCTTGTAGCTGCAGAAGTCAGTGAGGGCTTGTTTTAAGGCCCCTTTCACAGATCCCCTGCTGATCAGAGCAGAGTGGGTGGATGACAGGTCCATGTCTGCTTAGTTTATGCTGAGGGGACACGGACAGAGCCCTCCAATCCACCTAGACAGAAGGAATCGGATCCCTTTCCGTTTCTTTTTAAAGGACTGGATCAGATAGGAGGTAGGCAGGTGTAAATGAACACAAGTCCGTTTTACACCCACCAATCTATAAAAATACATGGACCATCTGATCAGGTCCCCCTGAAAAACTGATAGGTGAACCTGATTGGATTGCCCATGTGAAAGGGACCTAAATCTCATTTGGTGTTTGTAGTGACCCTGCCACTAAATAAAAGTCTTTGAGCAAAGACCATAGCTGTAAAGATGAGGCTGTACCTCTCTTGATGCTAGTTCCTCTTAATGGTGCCTCTTTGCAAAGAGCTGATTACCCAGAGTCTACTGTGAAACCAACACTTCTGGAAGCATTGATCTTGTGGTCCCAAATAATAGTTATTTTTTCTGACACTGTACACTACAGTGACATGACGGCAGAGGGAGTGAGTGAGAGAGGGCTGCAAAATACCATGATTTAGAGCCATAACTGCTTTGCAATGGTGTTTATGTGGCCAGTATAGATAGAGATAGTGCTTAAAGCAGAACTGTGGGCACTCAATAAATTCTAAACTTGTTGCACCTCTCCCCAGCTGAGGCAGAATATATTGCTTCTTTTATCTAGGGGATGATGTAAAAGAGTAAAATTTGCCTTTCCCTATGGTCCCACTGCAGCTGAGGCTCCCTTGTTACTCGCTCCTGCCCCAGAAAGCAGGCATTCATTCTGATGTCAGCACATACAATGCCTCTGACCCTGCATTGTATGTGATGACAGTGGTGAGAGGGACAGTGACATCACTGGTCAGAGACCAGCAGTAAAAGAGGTGTTGTGAGACCAATCACCACTACTGGAACTGGTATGTGGAATCAGAGAATAAGGTAGGTTTTACTACCTCTTAGATCATTCCCATGAAAAAAACAAGCATTATATTCTACATCCACTGGGGAAAGTGGGAAGTCATGAAGTTTAAATCAAAGAAGTAGATTTATAGTAAGATAAACATTGTACCTCCTTCCCTAATTTTCATTCTCTTGCCTCTACTTTCCTGTTACAGCAGATGTGAAAGGTATCTAATTATGATTGTGCATTTATAGGCACCAGAAGCGGACCTAGTGCACTCAGTAATCAGCACTCAGTAACAGAACTAGTGTGACACAGTCAGGGGCGGACTGACCATTTGGAAACTTGGGCACTGCCCGAAGGCCCGTGGTCAGTAGGGGGCCCCATGAGATGCCCCTGGTACCTTTTTCATAGGCTTTTTTGAGTTTGGGCAAGGACACAGGGGCCCCATGATGCCCTATTGCCCGGGGGCCCTATGAGTTGTCAGTTTGCCCCTGGACACAGTCCTTTCCCTTCTCTGCAATATAATATATGTGTGGAGACACTTTTGATGAAGTGTGTGGTTATTACATTATACCACCTTTTTTAATATTGAGACAAAGATGTATTTTAAGGCATTTCCAATAATAAAATTAGTCACAGAGTATACCATGTACAAGATTATACATAGATGGAAAGTTGAGAGATTCAAATGCTTCAGCTAATAGATGTTACCTACTTACCTAATTGATGGCATCCATTTTCCTACTTCCCTGCTGCTTCCTAGCAACCTTTACCACTTAATGGGGCCTTATCAGAGAAAGATTGCTTATTATGGATCTTGCTGCCAAGCAACCAGCAATCTGTCATCTGACAGTCCATTATACTTCCTCTTCGTATAGGAGGCAGGGAACACGAGCTGAGCTATATGCACAAGCCATATGTACAAATGATCAATCCAACATAGCCTCATGATGTAACCAAAGGGATCCATGCAACAAATTGTTATTGGAGATCATCGAACCCGTAGCAGTATATCGCTTGTTACTGAGATATGTAAAGAATAATTATTAAAATTTAGTTTTTTCAAAAACTCTGTCTGGTAGGTTTATTATGATTATATAGCATATGACCATATATCATATGTTTAAAAAATACATAAGAGGTTACCTTTAGCTACAATGATTAGTAAATCCAAAGATACAGGCAGATGAAGGTTTATTTTAATCCCTTTTCCCGTAAAGGTCAAGTTTGACCCCGCCCTTCCCTTATACTGAGCCTCTTTTGGTCTTTCAATGTGTTAGAGGGCCATGTTGATCAGGAGGGGGGCTAGGGGAGAAGGAGGACTTGGAGCCCAGTTTGACTTTTACAGGAAAATGCAGAATTTGCCAATGTTTGCATATTATTTAAGCTGACTACATCTCTGAATCTACGTAACGTACAGCTTTCACGGAATTTTGCCAGTGCTTATGCTTTTTATCATTTTATGATTTTTAATTGCCCGGCTTATTTTATAAATTGGTTTCATAGTTTGTATTTACTGTTTCTAGTCATGCCTTAATTATTAACTTGTGGATCCTTTCATTTTTTTTTATACTTTGTTAATCTTTATTTTTATTTAGATTTTAATGACTGTCAAGTATGGGGCATATGTGATCAGCTTTGTGAAGACCGGATGGGCAGTCACCGCTGCAGTTGTGTGGATGGGTATATCTTGGAGCATAATAAGCACTGCAGAGCCAACACGTCCGGTAAGTAATAACAATAACCTCTGTGTGGTATTAATACTGCTATAAATGTATGGAAGTCATACTGTAAATGCTTGTTTTTCTACTTTTGCATTTACTGAGTTTGAATAACAATTATATAGTAAACTAAGTCAAATTTGATCCATTAGGGAAGAGAGCTGGGTTGACAGAAATTTATAATAGGAACATGCTGGTTTATGTCTACTTTTTGAAGTGTATCTAAAGCCCAAACTTTTTTTCTTTAGCTTTGGATAGCGTTGGAAATGGTTAGGACCCCTGCCATTATTTTTTTTCTTTCTGTCTGTATGACTTTAACAAGGTTTTTCTTTACTTCCCATCATGAACACACAATAAGATAGAAGAAAGCCAGGGAAATCTTCTCATAAGCAGTTGTCACTAGAGCAAGTGTCCACCCCGGAATATTTCTCCTCCCTGCCAGTTTTGATGACAACGCTACATTTTGGATTTTCTTTCACTTCATGTTCTGGTGTCAGTGCTCACTAACACTAATACAGAGAGTGAATCTCCCTAGCAGGGACACACACAGTAAAGCCTGACAAGGGTTCGCATGATAATTCGATCCAGAAAAAAAAAGAGTTCTGACATATATATACACATGATTTTGCATTTCCGGGTAGGGGGCAGTCTCGGCTGTCGATCAACGGGTCCTGGTGGTTCCCTGAAGGCATTCGGCGATCACCATGTGTCATGGACAGGGGAGAGACCTGTATGTAAACAATACAGATCTCTCCCCTGTCAGCTGCAGCATGCTGCTTTGTATGGCTCTGCCGTACAAAGCAGTGTGCTTACAGTGTAAAATGCGCACACAGTGAAACAGCACACAGTTAACCCTTTGATCGCCCCAGATGTTAACCCCTTCCTGCCCAGTGTCATTAGTACAGTGTCAGTGCTTTTTATTAGCAGTGTCAGCAGTGTCAGTTCCCCCCCCCCCCCCCCAGTGTCAAAATACCCACCGCAGTCCTGCAGTCCCTCTATGAGTCGCTGATTGCAACCATTACTAGTATAAAGAAATTCCAGTATATATACCGCCATTTGTAGAAGCTATAACTTTCACATAAACCAATTAATTTACACGCATTGGGATTTTTTTTTAGCAAAGACATGTAGCAGAATACATTTTGGCCTAAATTTATGCCAAAATTTTTTTAATTTTTTTTCTGGACATAATAGCAAAAAGCCAAAAATATTTTTTTTCTCAAAATTGGCTTACTTTTTTTTCATAGCGCAAAAAATAAAAAACGTAGAGCCGATCAAATACCACTGAAAGAAAGCTCTATTTGTGGGAAAAAAGTACGTAAATTTAATTTGAGTGCAGCGGTGAATGACCGCGCAATTGTCACTTAAAGTAACGCAGTGCTGTATCACAAAAAATGGCCTGGTCAGGAAGGGGGGTAAATCCTCTGAAGGGCAAGTGGTTAAGCAAAAGGCCACCTTTTGTGTATTTTGATTGGCTGAGTATGAATGACAACAGCAACTGTGTTAGTTCACACATATTTGCTACATTAAACAGACAACCTTAACCCTTTGAGGACCAAGGGACTTATTTGTCCCATGTTTTTAATTGCCTGTATCATCTGATTAAGAACTTAAAAAAGTAGTTCTTATCAACAATTGGATCTAGCTTTTTGCCAATTATTTCATGAAATGGCTTAGTTACAGCAACTGAAGTGTACAAACTTTAAAAACAAAAATTGATTCTTTTGGCGTCCGTAATCTTATGGTCCTCAAAGAGTTATGGGGTTGATTTACTAAAACTAGAGAGTGCAAAATCTGGTGCAGCTGTGCATGATAGCCAATCAGCTTTTAACGTCAGCTTGTTCAATTGACATAAAGCCTGGACGCTGATTGGTTTTGTTGCAGAGCTACACCAGAGTGTAAATCAATCCCTATGTGTTTTTGCTGTGTTCTTAGTTGCTTGGAGTTTTTTCTTTAAATGTTCATGATATTCCCCTAAGTAGATTCTGTTTCTGCCTACATGGCCATAATAAAAGTGACACTGGGTTCCCAGTTATTTGCTTACATAAGAGGTTCTTGGTGGTGCTTGGTTGGCTTTATAATGTCCATGGTAGTTGAGCAGAACTGGAACTTCAAATGGAAATATTTTGCCTCTGTTCCCAAATGATATAAGGATACAAGTGTGAATATTACTATAAGCACCAGTTCACACCACCAAGTTCAGTCCAGTGCATTTTTTTTTTTGCATCAAGAATGCATGCACACTTTTTTCCATGTATTCCAATGGCTCTAGCTCACACCAGTGCAGTCAGTTTCAGTCAGTTTCTGGTGCAGAAAAAAAGTAGAACATGCTGCATTTTGTCTCCACAGAACTGTACTGGGACACAGCAAAACCATATACAAATGGCACAGGAATGGAGTGTGGTGTGAGTTGTAAGCAAAATCGCACCTAGAATGTATCTGTAGTGTGTTTTTGTGGTGTGAACTGGCCCTCAAGTGCATATAATGTAAATATATAAGTTGCTTTACAAATAAACATTAGGGTAGTCAGAATTTAAAACTCTTGTGTATGGCTAGTTTAAAGTATTTTTTAAAGCCAAGACCTTTATTCAGTATTGGGTAGAGTAGGGAATGGTTAGAACCCCTATCGGTTCCTGTCCTGTGGAAACAACAGGACGTAATGGAAATCGTAGACTTTTAGACAGTTGTCGCTGAAACAAGTGTCTTTGCTGTTGTGGTGAGAACTCAAAGATTAGAATTTTCTTTCATATTCTGTGCTCATAAAAATGGTCACCAGGAGAAACAGAGAGGGTGAATCTTCCAACTTCCCCCCGGACGCAGACGACAATAATGACATCCATAGCATAAGAATACAACAGTGCCACACCAAGGAGGTGGGAGAGTTCCAAATGTATTGTTGGTCCTTTAGTAAGATCACACAGATAGTTAATGTGCATTGAGGGCCACTTGCTCTTCAGCAAGATTACACCAACATCCAATGCATTTTTCTGATTAGAAATTTAATGGGATCAAAATGAGTTGTCTGTTTGGTGTGATCATGCTTAAGAACCAGTAAATTATTTTTAAATCTCTCTCCCCTTGGTACGGCAGCTCTGTATTCTCATGCTTTGAGTGACATTCTTGGTAACCATTGAAAGGGATTCGCGCTTCATGTGATTAGTCTTGTCAGAGCCAGTAAGCTTGTTCAATGATTGCATCTTCAATACTTTGAGTGAATCAATGTTGAAGGCCTTGGATATATCCTCTTGAAGCAATGAAAAAAGCGATAAAGGGGGGGTTTCTTACCTTTCCGAACTCTATCCAATTAAAAAAACACAAATGTTTTGGCTTTGGAAATGCTCTGTTAAAAACTAAAGTTATTAATTAAATATATTTAACTTATAGAAAAATGTTTTTTTTTTTACAAGTTTGTTAAAGGATTCCAAAGTCTTACTGTTTGTACCATTATTACTTTTCTAGCTGGTGCACCCTGGATTATTTTCTCCAATGGGCGAGATTTACTAATCGGTGACATCCATGGAAACAGCTATCGAACATTAGTGCAGTCACAGAACCGGGGAACGGCTGTAGGAGTGGATTTTCATTTTCAGTTACGACGAGTCTTTTGGACAGACACTGTACAAGACAAGGTATTTAGTTGTTGCTGCAAAGTTTGCCTAAAAGTAGTTTTTACCTCACTTTACATTTTGCTCCTTTCCATGCCATCATTCACAAACAGATTTGTGGAGTCCTATTTTATGTCAGACAGAGCAAGCATCGTCATTGTTGAACATGTCCTGAAGAGATTTCCTTTCACTTACTGTCACAGATATACAACAGGAAGTGAGAGGATATTTCACTAAATGGCACCGAAAACTTATCTAGATTTCACCTCTACTTATGTTCCGGTGACAAATATGACATTTTAGGCTTCCCTACATTCTCTGTCCTGGTGACAATGGTCATCAGGAAAGAAGTGAGATGAAATCTTCACAGCTGGGTCACAGATAGCAATAAAAGCATAAAAGAGATTCTAACTCTTCCTTACTGTAGCCAAAACAATAAAAAAAATTTTGGTTGGAGTTACACTTACAATTAGTTTTTTACCCCAAAATACACCTCACTGAATGTTTTCCTTTTTGCATGTTTTGCTAATAGATAGAGAAACTATAGTGCAATATATTCCAGGAGATCATCAGTTTCCAATATGCCGCAATCAGCAATGATAAGACAGAGATAGATGTCTGCTTCACACACCTTTCCCGTTGTAATATATGCTGAAATATCTACTTAGGTCCCATGCACACCTGGCGTTCAGCCCCAGTGAATGAGTCTCTGGCATTTAGGTGTGGGTGGAGAGTCCAGGTGCCCTGTCCAGCCCCTCTGCTTGCAGCCTGTCAAACTCTGTGGGGGGCTGACAGCTTCTGCGGCTGGACTGCGCTCTACTAACATTTAGAGTAGTATGTGCCCAGGGTGAATACCCGCAAAGCAAGTTGGCATTCCAGGAATTCTTACCTGGGTACATACTGCCCTAAATGTTAGAACCATTAGGTGCACTGTCCAACCTCATCCTGCCGCAGCGGCTTTCAGCCTATCATGGAGATTGACAGTCTGACGGTAGTGTGGTTGCATGGTGCACCTGTGCTGTCTGCCTTCACCTAAACATTGGAGCCTCGTGCAGTAAGACTAAATGCCCAGTGTCCATGGGGCAGATTTGCATTTTTTAAAAATTAACTTGCATCCTCATAATTCACTATTTGGCTACATTCAGCAGCAAGCAGGTGTACCTCATAAAAAAAAACAAAAACAAATCAAATATACCCTTTGTAGATATAAAGAAAAACTAAAACCTATTAACAGATTTATTGGTTTTAAGACAATAAAAATAGTGAACATAATATTTATATTAACCAATCACATTCTTATGTATGTAGAAACAATCTTTATACAGATTACAGATTTCCATTAAAAAAGTATTTATTGATAAAAATGTATTAGGTAAGGAAATATTAAAACTATTTTAATTGCCACTTTCATATTTGTATTACATGACAGACGTTAAACAAAGCGCTCCATTATGAAGGCATCTTGTCCTGCCTCCCATGTACTTCTTAATGGAGTCAAATGCCTAATAGTGGGCATTCTTTCAAAATTAGCCAATCCTTTACAAGTCATTTTTGGAAACTTGATCCAGGCAGTGCAAAAGTACCTTTTTCATGAATGATAAAAATCACATTTTTCCTGCATATTTGTCTTTGCACAGTAATGGATCTCTTGACAGAATACAAACTGAAAAGCCATTGTTTTAGCAGATAATTAGCTTTCAAATTACCAGAAACTGACACAGGATGGTATGTACTGGATAAAAAGTTGTTGGTGTGTCAAGTTTCTAGAAAAACTGGTAAAGTGCTGATAAGCATAAACCAGGAATTGGACTGCATTTATTGTGGTGTATGTAGGGAGTTCCGTACATGTGCAGAACTTTAGACTTTTAGCTAAGGGTAACCATTGTTTTATGTTATCATCCATCTTAGAAGCTACTTAAAATGTTCAGCTGTAGGATTCATGAACACTCAAAAATGGTTTTGTGTTATTTCATTACAAACAGGGGCAACAATATAAATCTATGGATTCCAGTGAGTAGCTTTCTTCTAGCTGCCCCCTTTTCCCATTCACAACTTACTTCCTGCAAATAATCCACCATTACTTATAAAGGTTATGAGAAACCTATGTAATGGCTACTCCTCTGACAGGAACAGTTGTATTGGACTTTTTAGAGATTTCTAAATTCTGAAATTGTAATACGAAATTACCAACTCGCCCTTGACATTAGCACAACCCTAAACTTTAAATAGCCCCCAGAGGTAACTCCCAACCTCAAGCTAACCCCCAAACCTAACACTTAAAATGTTTTTTCACCTAATAGTAAAAAGGTAGCTTACCCTACAAACGTTCCATTGTTGCTATTCATTGTTCCTTGTTTCATTTCTTTTCATTTACTTTCTTTTTTGTTTTCTAAATGTGGGGATCCTGCTAGTAATAGGTTCAGTCACAGCTTCCTGTCCACATCATCACCAAGAGATATACACTGCAACTGAGGGAGCCTAGAGGATATGCTGGGAACATAAAGATGATTTACAGTAGTCAGGGCTTTTTTTCAGCAGAAACGTGGGGGGACTCAGTTCCGGCACCTCCAGCATTTAATGTATGCAATGGCAAGGGGTGCTGGGTGTGCCGGAAGGTATAGTGATATTGGCTGCTGGGGGATATGCTTTTGCATGGTGGTCTGTTGTTGCTGGGTAGGTCTATTTTTGCTGGTGGGGGATATATTATTGCTGCTAGGGATCTACTGTTGAGGGAGGGATCTATTGTTGCTAGGTACTGGAGAGTCTATTGATGCTAGCTGCTGTTGCTGCTGGGGGTCTATTATTGCTGGGATGGTATTTTTTTTTTGTTTCTGGGATTTACAGTATTGCTGCTGGTTGCAGGGGATCTATTTTTACTGCTTTTCTTATTATCATTAACAAATTCCATACAAATGATTTAGCACCACAAAATTATACTTGGCCATGTATTCTCTACAAGGGGCAGTACTGGGAGGTGGGTAGGGGTAGAACCAAGGAACTGTGCTCAGAGGTGGGTAGGGAGCAGGATACAAGAAGTGAATTAGAAGGGGGGAGTTACTGCACCTATTCTCTGAGAAAAAAAAGCCCTGATGCAGTTATATTTTATCCAAATCAAATTTCTGAAACTAGCTCTAAAACTAAACCTAACTTTTACCCTAAACTGAACCTCTCTACCTCCCCTTTACTCTAAGCCTGCTCCTAAACCTACCTGACTCTTAACCTAAATTTAACCAAACCCACAAAAGTAAAATCAGTAAGTATGCTTATGTCCTGCCCCTCTTCTTTAACAACGGTTAAGGTCTTCTAAATAACATCTCCTTCAAATGCTATTTATTTAATGTGTATCAACAGCCAAAACCATTTTTTCAGTTTTGGAGAGAATATTGAGAGCTTAGAACCTTTGTCACAATTGTCTTGCTGGTTGTGTCCCTGCTATGGAGATTATTTCCTTCCTTTTGTTCTGATGACCACTGTCACCAATTCTAAAGTTAACCATACACCTATAGGCCTTTTTCATTCAGCCTCATGGGGCTGAACAATAGAAATCAATTGATTCCTTGTAAAACAGCCAAGATAGAGGAATCTCCCCTGCCGCCTCCTATATTCCGCAGCCGGCATGACCCATGGTTGGATTTAGTCACTGTTCAGCTGATAGTTTTTCACCCAACTCCTTTGTTAAATGTGGATTGAAAGATCAACTTTTGTTGAGCTGGGTTTTGCCAGCAGGGCCACTCACAGCTCAAATTTTGGCTGATACAGCAGGAAGTGGATGAAATTTAAAAAATAAGTTCTCCTTTTGCTAAAAAATAATAAATGCACATTTTTTTGCAGGTAAAAAACGTGCATTTATTATATTTTGTTGCAGGAGCCTGGAAATCATTACCTCAGCGATCAGCAAATCGCTGGTGCCATGCAAGTCTCCTGCAGACCTGTCAGTATATCTGCTTGCCCGTACAGAATATATGGGCAAGCAGATATACTGACAGGAATAATCAATGAACTATCACGGCGCTCCACAGAACTACAAGCAGAAAGCCGCTAAGGCTGTCGGGACTTGTAGTTTCTCATTTACAGAGGACTGTGGATGAGTGACTCGGCCATGTGGGCTGAGCTGCGTTTTTTTTGAAAAAAACTATAACAGCTAGTGGGAGGAGAAGATCCCTGACTAGCTGTCAAAGCAGGGGAGCAGGGGCTGGTGTATTCATTACATGTTAGAACCTGAATATCGTTATGAAAGGTGAACTTTTCCTTAAGATTATAGGAGAATGCAAAGCTTTGATTTGTCATGAACACACAAAAAAAGAGGAAATCTTTCAAAGGGGACACTTTTGGATCCAAGAACAATAGCTTAAAGTGTTACTAAACACAGGACCCCACATTCACTCTATCTGGTCTCCCACAGTAAATAGAACACGGAAACACAATTATTTTAGTAAATATAAACTACTAAATACCTTTTCTCATCAGCAGTTATAGATGTCTTGTGATTTTTATCAGTGTCCAGCAAGAGCACTTGTAGTAGCAGTTTTCCTTGCTCTCTTATTGTTCTGTGAGGCTGTAGGACTCCTGACCCTCTGTCTGGAGAGTGCTGATTGGCCCTGTGCTGATCATATGCACTCTCCAAGGAAATAAAACCTCTAGCAATACACACCAAACTGAGCATGTGCAGCTTGCCCCCAGGCTCTGTTCTACCTGCAGATGGATTTGGGACAGTAGAAGAAGAGGAGAAATAGAAGACAGGATCAAACCGCCTTTTTAAATAATGCAGAGGAAAAAAAAACCCTTAGGTGCCACAGTATAATAAGTATGCTTTAGTGCATATACAGACTGATTTTACTTTTGTGGGTTTAGTAACACTTTAGGATAGATTCCATCTCTCATTTCCTTGGTAAAATTTCATCCTGCTTCCTGTTGTTTCTACAAGATAGCAGTATTTGAAGAGAAATCTCCCCAATGGGACATAGATGGCAAAAAAAGCTGACAGCAGTTTTACT